ACAAGTCAATGTATCATTAAAATCGAAGATAATACGGCGGCTCGCATCCGATGGGAGGGCCTAATTTGCAAGGCGCTTTTTAGCAATGAGCTGAATTGAGATCTCAACATTTTTTTCCGAGGTTTGGAGTTCTCTGGAGTCATCCAGAAGACTTAACCTATTGCGTACCGCGGCGTTTTTTAGCTGGCCGGCGCGTGCGACCGGCGCCCATTTAGGCCCCCGCCGCGTGCTGCGCGATCCATATAAAACTTTCATTTATATTATAAGCACCTATTATATAGCGCAGTGCATATAACCTATACATTTACAATATTTCGTGTTTCTTTTTGTTACTGGGATCAATTATTACTGCACGCGGTAGGTAGTAGGGTAACCGCAAATGCGACAGAATTGAGTGTATTTTGAAGATATAAGTATGGGAAAAAGAGCTGAAAGTGATTAAAACGTAGCCGTTTTGATTGTTTTATATGCTCGCAATTATCACACAGCCGCTCTTCCACTTTTACTACAAGATGGCGAGAAAGTTGAGAGGGTGCGACTAGAGTTTTCAACAACAAATACCAGTAATTCAGAAATTCGTTCTCACTGCACAGTCCCACGTCTGTGTGTTGTTCTACGGATTTAGATCTTCACTCCTATACAATTGGAGCACTCTTTAAAAACTTGTGCTGCACCATGTGCAGCACGCGACCACGCAGAGGCAAATTGCCGTGCTGCACCATATGCAGCACGCGGTACGCAATTGGTTAAAGCTTCCGAAAGGGGGATGCCAGGAATGAACCCTTGTTGTTGGACGAGTCCTTCAGGAAAAACTCATAATTCTATTTTAGCGATAAATCACTGGCTCATCATCCGTGATGATGGAAAGAACAGAAAAATTGCATTCGGTTTGGTAAAAATTCAAATAAAATGGAAGGGCTGCTACGCGCTCAAAGTCGGGTGCACATCTAACACAAATGATGGCGACGTGAATGCTTCCACATGATTATTAGAGTGCTTTCGCAAGGAACCCTTTCTGGCCTTTTGACATATTGCAGTCACCTCTCACTCTTCTACTGCATCCTAACCTTTCGATCGAATTGTCCCTACTCTCCAAAATCGCACGTTTCAACCTGAATCTTACACTGCGTCGCCTGATACGTGATCACCCCAAGGAGGACTTCTTTCAATGCCCCGCCTTTGGCTCCGCGCCTTTTACCTTCGATTGCCTATAGAATGTAGTTTTTGTAAGTTTCTTTCTTCTCGGAAACCGAATATTCATGCCTCAAACTTTGCGTGCTGTTTCCAGTGATTACAGCTAATCATTCATGTTAGGAAAGAATGCATGAATTTCCCACGAAGGATTCTTTTAAAGGTAAACTCCGGGATTGAACTGGTGCTATTAGAGCTTCGTGGTGATAGCTTAGCTGCGATTCGACCTGAAAGCAGGGTCAACCCTATGTTGCTACAAGTAGCAACGGGGGGGGGGTCGTACTTGGATGTACCCGGAGAGGGGGGGTTCGTACTCTCTCGGTGGTCGGCAGTGGGATTTGTGGTAATCTAACTACTGACCATAACCATGTTTCAGGAAGAGCATGAGAAAGAAAGACAGAAAGAGAAGCAGCAGCAGCAAGACATGTAGCATCGTATAAAAAAGTGCTCCCACTATGACATGGGTCCACACACGAGACCCCATTTAAAGCAAAAGTGTAGCTGGAGTAATGCCTAAGACAACATGGACAATAGTCACCACATTACGTTTACGCAAGATAATTGATGCTAGAGCATCTGTGAGCCGCTTCCTTCTGAGTGGGCTTTCAAATTAATCAGCTAATCAGAAGCGCGACCGAGGCGTGGCGCACACCAACGCAGGGGATATCAGTGCAAGCGTGTGCACAAAGCATTCTAACACATCCTAGGTCAACACGATATTGTTTTCTCTGAAGGTTGCGAACAGTGAAACCTAAAAAACCGCTTTTTGAAGAGAATGGCTTGGAGAATGCCCCTCCAAAAAATATAGCAACGACTAATTTTTGAAATGCTGACTCTTAAGAAACTCTTGGGTACTTGTTGGAAAGCTTGACTCCTGTTCTGGTTCAGCTTCCCAAATAAATGAATTTGAAGGAAGTTATGATCGCTTAGAGGTGGAAAAGTGCATTTGCACAGAAAAAAGTTCCAACGTGCTAAATTTTTACTGAATCAGCTTTCGATGAATTTCAGCCATGATTGGAGAGGGAATGATTTAATTTTTAAGTCAAATAACTCCTACCTCAAAAGCTCGAATATGAAGAAAGTTATAGCCCTAAAAAGAGGAAGGTGAAAATTGTAGTGCAAATTCATTTCTTGCTCAATAACTTAATTATTCAAGATTGTTTAAAGGCATGCCCCAGGATCGCACTGGTGTGGCTCTTGCACACGAATGTGAATGTATCGGTGCGTGGGCCGGCAGTGAAGAAAAAAGGAAAAGAATCCGTCGAAACGCTCAGGTTGAGGGCTCACTCACCTCCCTAATTGGCTGTGCTAAAGGAACGAGAGACTAAGCGCGAAGAGGAGAGTGTGGGGCGAGAGAGCGCATCAGATGAGAGAGACCAGACAACGGCCTGATAAGAGAGCTCGTTCGCTGCAGCTCGAGCAGCTTACTTTGCAAGCCCAAAGCGTTCTTATCGGTCGAATTCCGTGCACGTGAACGCCACATTTGTGATTGTCCCCTAGGGTTCTATACTTCTGACCGAAGAGAAGAGTTATAAAAAACCTCTGCCTGGGTTGTGCCTTTAAGAACAAATCTGCTCTACTTAAGAAGGATGACCGTCGGTGATCCAGAATCCTCCTCCGCCTTCCGAAGAATCTGATTTTTTACAAGAAAAAATTCCTCTACTTCTCAATTTCCCCTTTCGATACCTGTTCCCATTCAACCAACGCGCCCCATTGCAGTCACCGAGGGCGCGATCCACCACATTCAAAACCTGTCAATCTTTTAGCCCTCAGCCATGAGGTCTGCGTCACAGATGACTTCATGTCCAAATTCCATGCGTACGCTGTTTTTCGGAACGCTAACTCGTCTTTTGTGAAATTTGGTCCGAAATTCAGCGTTCTTGTCTAAAGAAGTTCTGCATTTATACGATTAGTATTGTTTAAGTAATTTTATCACCACTTTGAGCTACACACAGGGGGTCGTAAGAAATCGCCTATGAAGGGGGGGGGGAGGGTCGTAAGAAAAATCCAAAAAGTAGCAACGATAGGACCGACCCTCCCTGAAAGAGGAGAGGAAAGCAAGGGAAGTCTTTGATAGCGCTGAAACTAAGGTCTCACCTTCAATAAGGTCGGATGTGGTACGATGGCAAGACCGGGCAGTCAAAGAAGACAAAATACGCGAGAGTGCACGTCGTTCAAGAGAGCACGCTGATCTCACCAAATCGCGCTGGGTGGGAAGCGTTGGAACCGTGGTCGATGGTTGCAGGCCTGTAAGGATTAGCCCTAGCCACACAATTTTTGCAATGAAACTGAAGTGATCTGGGTCGGTACGGACCTTACATACAATTTCTCTCGTAGTGTCCCTCCCATTAGTTGGGCTAATCCCGGGGTTTGCCTTTAAACAAATCAAAACGGACTACCAACACCCAATGGGTGTAAAGAATAATTGAGTTAAGGAACGACCAGGAAGGTGACTGAACCTTGAATAAGGAGCAGTTCGATAGCAGTTCGAAACTTCTCGAAAATCCGTCTACATGAAAACATATAGCGATTAAAACTAAACATGCAACTGATTGTATCGACGTGCAAACAACAAGCTCTTACTATTCAGGCAAAGCAAGGTCGGAAAGGGAGATGTGAGAAGTCACGGGATTTTCTGAGGTGTGACCAATCTGGGACGTTCTCTGATTTGGCAAAAAAAGTTTACCGTTGAATCGGCTGAAAACTCAGGATCTCCTCCGGATTTTCAGCTCAGCTCTTAGCTACATCCGTGATCAAAGTGGCCAGCGCAACCGCAACGCTTTCCTTCTTCGAGAATTTGGTCATTTGTGGCTGTTTCAGTGTTTCGAGCGATCATCCAGTGGCCTTTCATGATGTAGCCATGAAAATAAATGCGAAGATCTATAAAGAAAAGAAAGATTCTGAAAAAGCTGCGGTGTCGTCTTCGCGTATTGGTTCCCTGATTCACAAAGTCACTCCTTTTCAAATTTTTATGGACAGAAAATAAAGTTGACGTCTTTCAAAGCATGCGTGATTTTTCGCTGAGCGAGTTCGGTCACTACAAATTTTCCTAAAGCCTAAAATAAGAACAAAACCTAAGCCCGCCATTTTTTATGTGAAGCCCGCACTCTTTAAATCGAGCTTGAGATAGATTTCATGAAACCACTCGGCCAGCCTACGTGGTCATACAGGTACCCATGTAATTCACTCAATCAAAAGCAGTGTTTCTCTCGAAAATCAGATGAAGTGAACAGATTAATCTGGAATTCTGGTCGTATTTTAGTAGAATATCTCAGGGACATCTTGTCATGAAGAATCATGCGGATGAAAGCAAATTAGGAACCTCACAAGAGCTGAAACAAGCAACCCTTGAAGCAAGAAAGTAGATCGATAGCCATCTGCTGTGGAATCTCAACTCCAGTAGGACAAGGAAGCTATCCGGTGTTGTCCTTGATAAAGGAAGAACTATAGATTATTATCTCCTTTCTTATCTGCCATTGGCTCAGTAATTGTTCTTTTTCACAGGGTTACCTTGTATTATGAAGCGGTGCAAAAACCGAAAAATAATTATAAAAAGTTAGAAAAAAAAGCAGCTCCTGCCAAAATTGCGATACAGGGATTACTCGTAGTGGGGAATCATTTCGTGACAGTAGGAAAATTCCCAGTCTGATGCTTTCTCCGAATGCATGAATTTAGGGTGACCGTATAATTATGAAACGTACTGTACATATAGCCGCTTGCATTGAAATCGAATTTTTTTTCATCCTATTCCTAATAACATTTGTTTTTAGGAGACTATTGTGGAAAATTATGTGATTTGCTCATCTTTTCAGGATTTCAAGCTAGAAACCGTTCCCAAGAACGAATATGGATTATTTCACAGTAATGACAGCTACATCGTCCTGAACGTGAGAGAGAATAATTCTCGGTTAATTACAGTAGCAATTTCGCTTGTTATGGTATTTTCAGTCAACTGACAGTGGGTGGGATGTCCACTTTTGGCTTGGTGAGACTGCCTCCCAAGATGAAGCTGGAACAGCTGCTATAAAAACAGTGGAAATCGATCAAGCTCTCAATGGTCTTCCTGTACAATACAGGGAAGTGCAGAACCATGAATCGCCACTGTTCCTTTCATATTTTCCGAATGGCATCAGGTACATTTGTAGAGATACTGGTTTGATTTATGAAACGAAAAGCTTGAAGAAATCTAGACTGATGTTTGTTCCAGATATTTGGAAGGTGGATACGAGTCAGGTTTTAATCATGTGGAGGAAGAGTTCAAGAACTGGGAACCGCGACTCTTTCATTGTAAAGGAAAACGAAATGTTCGTTGCCATCAGGTGAGTCTCCCCTTTTCATATTATCACACCCTTTCTTCCCTGTGTGGTTTCAATGGTTTGGATCACCTGCATCCCCTGTATCCCATTTTTCATCGAGTTACTCAAATGGGTCTAACTCTTGCAGCCTCTCCTACTTGTCGTATGCCAGAGCGCCCGAGTGGACCCACACTGAGGGAAATGAAAAGAAAGAGGGACATGAGGGACAAAAGACATGACATGGCAGACCAAAAATCGGAAAAAAAATTGGGCAAGTTCCAATTCGGGATCACCCTCTTCCGTTAAACGGTCAATGGTTACGATAGTACGCTTGCATTCAATATGTGGTTATTGATTTCATTTCATACACTGGTGTGCAAAACTTAAGGACCAGATAGATAAATTGTCCTAACTTATTAAAAATTAGATGGAATTGGATGAAACTGTACGGGCATAATGCTAGAAGCCCTACAGTCATGGGCATCGAAGTGGGCCTCATATGTATTGCATCCGGCTTCAATCTGGAGCCTAAATGGGGTGGCCACCCAGAACGATGGGTATCGTGGGGCAGGACAAGAGGGGTGAACTAAGCAGGGAGAAGTGACTGTGGAATGTAGTGGTGTTCTTGATTACATCAAGTCTCAGAGACAACACTAGGGTGACTTTACGCGAGGAAGAATCATTGGGAAACAGAAAAAAGGAAGTTGTGTCCAGGAGTTTTGTGTCAACCACAGCATTGTTTTTTGTGCATGAGAAGCAATGTGGACCGCAGCCACTGCTGTCCCAAGAAGAGGAGGTTGTGGGTCACGAACAACCGCAGCAGCAGGTGATTGCTAGGCTACAGGCAAAAATGGACCCACGTCAGTCACATGCTGGGGCAGTGGCAAAAACATTATCAGGATGTAAGCATGTAATCCCAGTCCGGACAGTGGCGCAGTGACCCGCCTAGGAGTGATCTCTCTCATCGATCACAAAATACTTATTTCATTTGAAATCACCTCTGCTGAACATTTGTTACGAGCCGAGACAATTGGAGGGACCACCGAATTGAAGAATCGCGTATTCTTCCCGTCAATAGCAAACTGAATGTGATATGATTCTAGACTACCCTGCATATGGGAAAATAGGAACCGTGTAATCTACCCAGGGCCACCATCGTTTAAACATGATTGTTTTAGTATCCATGCGACGCGATTGGGGAGGCATAAAAGTTGTCGGGCGTCCTGATCCCCAACTCATGAACTGCGTACACTTTCTGATCAAACGTGATTGTGATGTGTTAGCCCTCTGTCATTGCACTTTCCAAGGTTCCTTGCCCTTGCTTCCCATCGATAGAGGGCATGTCGAGTATCGAGGCCTGGTGAAAACCTCTTGAAAAGGAGGATTTTCGGTAATTGGTGAAGCCATTTATTTCCTCCAGTCTAATTCTATGGAGCACGTGTGGCGTGGATTCAGATGAGCTATTGTAGCACATGACCATGTGCCAACAATAGTCCTGCAGTTGTCAATCGCGGTCTCCAAGGAATCGGTCACTTCTCCTCAAGAACTCTTAACTAATCTTACGGCCTGTATGGGAACACGTAGCAGAGCATACCTTGCAGTCCGCAGTGTTCATACACCCCATCAAGAACTAGCTCCTCTCTTTTGAGTGTCTACCATGAGTTGGAGAAACCTCACCTATCGACCGCTTCAGACAGGGTATTTGCAGAAAAATGTCTTTTCCAATCGCCCCTTTGCGCTTTTCTGTTAGTAACTCTTTGCACTGTACCGCAACATTTACTTCTATATATGTGCCAAATTTGGTCCACCTAGGTTAACTAGCAGTAAGATATCACGTGAAAGTTACTTTGATCCTTAAGTTTTGCACACCAGTGTATATTACTGCAATGGCGCAGCAATGTGAGCATCAAAAATAAACTACAAAAAAGAAGTAAAAATATGGTGTCGTAAAGTGAAGGTCTGAGCGTGGGGGAGTGAGACGATATAACGAAGAAATGGCGCATGCTCAATTTGTCCTATTCAACACATCTCTTCCGAAATTTTTCTCAAATTCTCTAGAAATCCGTCGGAACCGCCTCTACCTCCCAACCGTGTGACACTGTGGGGGTTATAGTGCACTGGTACGTAAAACTTAAAGTCGATGAAAAAGCAGCACGTCGGAAATTAAGCCAGATTTGGTCAGTGATGCACAAAAGCAGAAAAAACCGAGAAAATGGCGAGAAATTGGACTCCTTCCGGACATCTGTCGCAAATGCTGGTAACAGGAATGCTTCCACCTGCTTCTCGGGATGCCACCACTAGGAATTTTTTTTCTTCTGGTTTAACGCACTGGCATCTTACACTTCTACTGCATCCTATCTATCGATCTTTCAGCTTCTACTCTCCAAAAATCGAACGCCTCAACCTGATTCTTTCAATGAGTCCTTTGATACGTGGCCAAGGCGCACATCTTCCTTGCCCCACGTTTAGCGCCGCGCGACCTACCTTCTACTGTCCTTAACGTATTACTCGTTTGTCTCTAGTGATCACAACTGACATAATCATGTTGGTTGTGGTGTCCAAATGATGTCCGTGTCCAAAGAGGAGCACTCAGTTCTCCCAAGCTGGTCTCCCTCACCGAATCTTCATAAAAAATTTGATTAAACGAAGGAGTAATCTCCCTTTCAAAAAGCGGGTGCAGACCAAACACCACAACTTTCAAGCAAATCTAATTACAAGTCATTCATAGTTAGCTGATTTCTGGTGAATGATAGTTGTAATTAGTGACAATTGATGGAATACAACTGCAACGGGCCGATCATTTCATTTGCAGAAAACATTATCATTCTGTGGAGGCCGTCGTCACTTGTGGTGCATGGTCTGCACCCAACTTTGTCGCTTTTTGGAGGGTAGGGTACGTTTTGTACGTGCAAAAGACTCCCAAGTTCACTTTCGAACTTAAAATGTGAGCCATTTGTGGGTAAGAACCACAACGAATTCGAGTGACTTTTGTAAGAAGATAAGGCTGAGCTGACGGAGTACGGTCCGTTCTTTCCGAGTTGGCCATAACATTAGTTGCAGGGGCCGTGCGCGGGTGGGCCGCTCAGTCCCCGGCCGCACGGCAGATCGCTCACCTCAGCGGGCTCTTCTCGAGCGAGCAGCTATGTAAACTCGACACATTCCAGCTTGTTCACGATGTCAAGTGAGCCTGCCCCACCCCCCCCCCACTTGCGCCGCCCCTAGACTTGGGCCTACAACTCCCCTCGGCCCGACCGGATTCCGAAACATGACCAGGTGAGCAGACTGACCGCGCCGGGGCCGCGTGCCCCCCCCCCAACTAAGTTAGCACCTCCGTTTTGCTTGCCATGCAATAATGCTTGTCTACCTACCTATTCACCTTTTCCTTTCTCCTGGTAGTGGTTTGCGAAGAAAGAAAGCCACCAAGAAAAACATGCAGAGAAGAGCAGTCAAATGCCACTCATGTCGTGCAGAAGCGAACCTTACTCCAGTCGGCTCGGCTCCCTCATGCAAAAATCGGCCCAGTTTTCATGGGTTTTCTGCCGCAGATGATGCATATTACAGTTTTTACTTGAAAATGAATTCGGGAGCGTTTCACCACGAAACATTACCCCATCACTTAATTAATTTCAAAGAAGATTGAAATCCTATCGAAAAGCAAGGAAGGAGAATTAGTGCACTTCTGAACATCATGTCTCGTACAATTTCTGAAGAAATTCCCAAGCTCGGAGTGAATTTTGTCTAGGCGGGACTTGCGCGATTGTCTATTTTAACAGTCTTTGACCGTTACCCTCCTAACCGTTTTTCAATTCAGACATCAGTTTTTACTAAACCGTCCCCTTGCAAAGTAAAATTTTGAAAAAGTTTCGCTGGAGAAGTGAATGTAATATGAAAACATTAGCAGGAATTACAATTTTGGGATATAAGCCAAGTGCCCTTTCAGACAGAAACTATAGAAAGAACTCCTGTGATGTGACAAGAAGGAAACCGATGTTCATAGGCAACTCCGCATTTATTTTCTGCACATTACATCAACGACTTTTCTGACACATCTAAATTTGTGAGATTTTGTAAAACTCTTGGGTAGAGATATAATTAGGCGATGCAGTCTATAGAGCTTGTGAAACAAAAACTTATAATTTCACGATTTCTTCCACTTTTTATGGCAACATTTTACCTGTAAAAACGATTGCCTGAATTGCACACCACGTCCCTCCCAGGGTCAAGCGATGCGTCGAAGGGAATTTCGAAATGTAACCCCCCCTCCGCCCTCCCTCCAGCGGCCGAAGTGCATTGACTCTCCCCACATACTGAATGACGTTATTTAGTCGAAAACCTTTCATCAAAAAAACCCTGCTGGCCCACACTCCACTATCAAAGCTTTTAAACAAGCTGAAAAACAAAATAAAGCCATCAACAATGAATTCTACCAAAAGGCGCGAACTAGTCATGAAAATAGCGTACTATGACAGCATCTTTTCCATTATTTCCTTAGAGAGACTCACCAAGCTTCTGTACTACGCAGAGTATGCTCCTGAGTGTACACGTACACCTTTCTCTATCCCAAGCCGTTTAATCGCATTTGCCAACTGTGTATTGACTGATCCAGGGCGTTGATGGAGCAGCTTATCTACTATTGAAATTTGAACACACGATGACTATAACTTTTTTCAGTGGATAAATTTTTGATCAGAAAACAGATTTCGAGGCTTCTTTCATGAGCTCTTTCTAACCAACATAAAATGATAAAGATTAATGAGGAATAACCAATATAGCTTGGTTAACGAAAAAAATTCTTGATGAGTGCGAGTTTACCTTCCTTAAAATCGGTCAAGTCTATAAAGTTATTTTAGCTAAATGTGTAGTAAACAATGTGAGACTTCAAACTTTTATTGCAAAAAACTCATAAACTTTCTACAAAAGAAATTTGCCAAAGTTTTGCAAAAGCTTGGGTCTTTTTTTGGCGAGCTTTCGGCGCTTAGCGCCTTTGTCGAGCCTGAAATAAATAATTAGATGCTTTTAAATTTGAAAAATATTTTAAAAAAGCTTCTAATTGTTCATTTCAGGCTCGACAAAGGCGTTAAGCGCCGAAAGCTCGCCAAAAAAGACCTACGCTTTTGCAAAACTTTTGCCACCACACAATTTGCAATTTCTTTTGTGGAAGGTTTTAGAGTCTTGCCTGTTGCAATAACGTTTTGAAGTCTCACATTGTTTATTACATACTTTAATCAACGTGAGACTTCGGGACAGAACAATTCTAAAGCTAATACATTAGGTTGTCCCATAATTAGTGAATCACTTTGGCCATTTTTCAATTTTAATTTTTTTTCTTTCTCATATGAAGTGTTTGCTCATCTAGTCATACACCTTTGTTATCTACAGAATATTGCCTATACATGGAAATTTAGACACTGTCCTTACTCTAGAATTCCAGGAGTTATTGATCAAAGAAATATCGGAAGTCGGCTTTGAGGTCATGTCAGTTAGCGTAAAATTTCTTCCTGAAGAGTAAAGGTATAAGTTAGACTAGGTTATCTTTCGCTGGTACGAGGGTAGGGCTTCACGGTGGAGCTGGAAGAACTGCTAGCTCGAAGGTCTCCAATTTTTTATGAAGATTTTCTGAAAGGAGGGGCCGAATGACCTCAGAAAACAACCAGACTTTGCCTTGCTTTGCCCTCAGATAGAACGCGTCGCCATTATGCTGTCGACGTTTGCCTCAATCACTGACTCTAGTATTACTGGGCGGCGGTTCCCAGCGCACGGTCCCTTCTGTGCTCCACTGAAATCTTAGAAGCGCCGGACATTCAGGTCCGACAGAGGTGCTTGGGCTTTTGCTGTCAGAATTCAAGAATCATTTAAGCTAGGCTGCTGCTCCTTGTGGTTTTGCTAGCACACGTCACCCACTTCACAACACTGATGAATACGCAGGATGATCACTGAGAGGCAGTGTGGGAAACCAGAGGAAACATGGCGATTCCATATCGTGTCGGGCAGAGATTCCAGAAAAATTGTAGTTCAAGCCTCTGAAGGCAACATGTGAACGGGCTGACTAATTGCTCAAGAAGGATATTGTGGGTACTACTTGACAAAACATGTTTCACGCCTTCAAGATTTTTCTTGGAATTTATAGCAATAAATGTAACGTGATTCACTAATTATGGGACAACCTAATAGCATTGTGGACTAAAATATTTGCTATATTCAATGGCCGCTGATATCACTTGATCCGTTTAGTACGTGGAAAATGGCTCCGTTGAGGATTTTTGCAAAAATAACGGGGAAAGCCCACGTGAAGCGCAAGTTTTTTCTTCTTTCCAAAGCAATAACTACCTCGAAACTCAAAGTCAATATAGCTATGTAAACTAGGAGATTTGCTCTGTTCATTTAATAAATAACCATTCGTTCACTATTTTAAAACGGAAAATTCGCGTAAGAGATTTGTTCGAAATATCACCAATGAGTTTCGTTCGTGCGTTGCATCTTTCAACGAACCTACTCAATTTTAGGGATATTTGGAAAAATAAATATGGATATTTATTTGGGACGCGGATTTTGAACCATATAGCTTTTTCGCATAAGGCAAAAGCATCAGCAACTTAAATTTTACTATTATATAGGTATATCTTTATCATTCGTATTGATCTTATCAGTTTTGGACTCGCACGCAGTGAGTGCCTGAAGAGGCCGGCTCAGCGTTTAAATCGGGCCCAGCCAGGTATTTTTGTCTTGATTTTAGCTTTTTGCTCGACTTTTACTTACGCCGCAAACTCGCCACTACCGGGTTGTGCCACGCCCAGCGTTACATTCCACATCTTATCCTACTTGCACCTCTGGCTATTTTTGCAGTCTTCTAAGTCGTTCGGAGCAGTATTATGAGGTTGCTAGGGGTACGAAATATAGATAAGTATCTTTTTGGACCCCACACTTTGGTTGCGTGGGTCGCCCACTGATATCAGTCCTAAATCTTTCCCAACATTTTTTACATTTCACATCTCTGGAATCTTATTGGAACGATTTATGTAGTACGTGGGCAAACCCCGACCCACTGTGGTGCATGCTCCGACCGCCAACAAAGTGTTGACCCCTTTCCCTCTGCAACCCTCATACTCTTTTTGCCTGATCCGGGATCCTAGAACATTATAAGCCTTATATTGCAAACTCCGACTTTGATGTAAGCGCGCATTTTCTTGAGCATTTAGCTTCCTCCCTCTGACATCTATTCGTTGTGTTGCTGTACTCTATATTCGAGAGCCGATTTATAAGCTCTTGTAGATAATGCTGTCGCTTCACGGACACGCTCCGCCCATTTGTGCGGCCCGTCACATCATGCGTGTGAAATACTTAGCAGTGTCCCTGCGCTAATTTGTTTCTGGTTGCTAGGCTCTCTTAACCGAGATAGGAATAAATTTTCCTGAGCACCATTTTCTATGAGAAGCCCGGCCACCGAAGGGTGGGTCTCTCCAGCAATACTGCTTACCAACCCCACTTGCATTTTGGGCGGTTCGAGACTTTATGTACTGAATTTGAATATGGTCCTCAGTACACTTATTTCCGACGCACGCACGCCACTTGAACGAGCCGCTTAGGTAATATGTTTTTACTTCTCGCAGGTATGGAACACCATCCCAAATGACCTGGAATCAGGAGGTTGTTGTCCGCACTTAATTACCGGAATGTGACAGACAGACAGACAGACTTAGCGCATTATATATAGTAGGGATAATTCTGACACTGAAAGCAGCACTCCCTCTTAATTAGTGGATTCGCTCCTGTCATTTACATGGCCCTTTCAGTATCATCTTGATTTTTCCTGAACCGAGATTTTTCTTCAGATATGTAGCCGTAGTTGATGCGCCATTGACTGACTGACTGACTGGGCCATTCACTCTGGAACGCGCCGTGTGCTTCACATACTTTCACATAGACAGATGCAATTTAAAGATTAGGTTGCCCTGAAAATCTTTGCCCATTTGTGAATTTTTTTCAAAACCATTTTTCTTCTTCAGCCCAGTCAGCAATTTACAATTATATGCCCTGTCATAATCGCAACACATTGCTTTTCAGCAGGTGACTCGTGAATGCCGTTTGCCTAGGAGTCCTGAGCTTTCGAGGCAAAAAACTGGAAGAAGCCGTTTTAGAAAAATCCGGATTATGAACCTCTCCCTTTTTTAGTTGAATCAGCAGCAATGGAAGCAGGCAGTATTCAGTTGGGGCCAGACCTGCTGAACACAACTGGCTAGACAGAAAATCCCATAAATGGCTTGGAGACTTTTGCTGGACCATCTTCAAAACTCCTTGACGGTCGTTGTTTGGATGGAGTGAACTTTGCAGCGTTTTCCATGCACAGCGTCGGTGGAGCCATCAGTTTCCCCATATTATCATTCACCAATAGCAGTACAGTTTGTTGGTAGGAGCCATCAGTGAACAAATCGCATGCAGCTTCAGCAACTCCGAGAATTGTTTGTCAAGTTGCAGTGCTGGCATGGACGTCGGCATCTCTGGTTCTACGCGTCTGAGCCAGTGGCACTCTCGGGTGTGGTTTATTTTAGGAACCCGCTCCTTGCTACCACCAACAGTGTGATCGCGTCAAACACAATACAGCCGGTGAATCGAAATGTTCATGCAAAATCTGAAGGCTCCCGAGGGCGGTTGTCACCCAGATCACGAAATTCCCTTTGCCGTAATTTCTCTTCTTTTTAAGGAGCTGTTGAGCAATGGCTATTGTGTTTTGATACCTGTGGAAAAGTTGTATTGTACCGTGCAATGCACCAGAGACTGTCTTTATACAATTCCAGAAGACATTCGTCACTCAGGGTTACAAGCTGACCGACCTTGGGCTTGTTCTCGAGTTTCCGGTCATCGGCATCCAAATGTTTGCCATGTCGTGAAAGACACTCTGGACATCCATCGCAAGACGTAGGACTCCTGCCGCATCACTTCCACTGTCGCGTTTTCTGGGTTTTATAATCAAGGGTAGCCAAACATGCTTTCAGTCAAAGTCGATTTTCTCAGCCATAATCGCTGCGAAATACCTCGGCAGAAATGCTATGAAGGGATCATTGCCTAGGGTTTACATCTGTTTTACAATAGATGGTCAAAAATTAGATTTGTCAACGTATACAAAATGGGCAAAAACTTCTGGTGCAACCTGATAAATAATATAATAATATATCTGTTATATCTATCTAATATGTCATAATAATATAATAATAATAATATATCTGTCGGAAAACGTGCAAATTTCCGATTATTTATCCTTGTCGTGATAACATCAAAGTAAGCTTAAAATTCCTCGCGGACCCCTTTCAATAACCAAAATTTCACAAGGGTGGACTAATACTATTATAGGAAATCCTCTGGCCAAACTTGGACAGCATCCCTCCTCGACGTCAGTGATGATCCCTACTGCATCGATCCAACCCGCCCTTCTTCCAGTTGGCCAAACATGAGTCCCTCCCCCTTCCTCCTCCCACTCCTGTCGAGGATTCCTCAACCCCTACTTGACCCCTCCAAAAACCGTTGTTCTTGCTTTGTAACAAACTAGCATAAGTTAGCTCACTCTGCTGGTAGAACGATCACACGTTTCCAACTATCATTCCAAAATATCTAATATTCAGGTCAAACTGAGCAAAGAGTCGCTGAATCTTGGCGATGTATTCTTACTGGATCTCGGCAAAGACATCTACGTATGGATGCCAATGCATAGTGGACGTCTTGAAAGAATCAAGGTCGCGAGGAAAATGAGCATTGCGATCATGAAAAAAAAATACAGGATGGCATTTTTCAGGGAATGGCTCTCGCCAAGGACATCGCAGAGACCGAACGGCAAGGGCAAGCCGAAGTTCACCTCCTGGGTTTGTTCATGGACAAGCTTTCAGAACGAACAGTCACTGACCTACGTTCGATCAAAATTTAGACACGGACTGGGACACAAATGAAGTATTTTGGTCTCATTTTGGTGGACCGGATGCTGTCAGTTGTCTAAACGAAGCTCGACATGATGATGAGAATTACTGGAAGGAAGCATCTGAGAAACTAAGCCTTTGGAAGTAAGTTGTACCACGTGCGCGGAACCCACTTGACCTCGTTCTTGACATGTTCATCTTTTCATTTTCAGGGTGTCAGATTTTACAGGCTGCATGAAGGTTACCAATGTCGCTCAAGGACAAATCGATCGCGACCTGTTGGATTCAAAGGTAATTGAGTAAGCAGTTGTAGCCCACTATCAACAACAAAAGTTGATGTGACTGGAGGATCTTGTTTGATAGCCTATTCAGCGTACCTGATGTATCACATACAAAGGTCGAGGATTTGGCGGATATACCTGTGCTGAAATTCCAGTTTGGGAGGCGGGGGGCGTAGGGGGGAGGGGGAGGGGCGTGAGCGCTTTATTGTGTCCTCCAACACATAAGATAAGATTGATAGCGGTCATGACACTTAATCGACTCATTCCAAGTATACTTCTGATATGTTCTCCAGTGGATGACCTGGTAGAAGAAATTGGGCAAGGTGGGGAATGTAGGACATTCACCCTGCCAATTTCAAGGAAGTCGCTATACGCTCATCAAGCGGGAAAGTCGAGAAATGGGATCCCCTTACTGCCTGCTGATTTACGCGTTTAGCAAGTCTCATAAGTGTTGCTCTCTTCAACGCCAATGGTCTCTCTCTGCTAGAGCGGAGACAGTCAGACAGCGAGGTATGGGCGGGAAACGACGCGAGCGGCGCAGGTATGGCCGTGCTAGGCTACTGGGGCAGCAGCTTTCGAGTTCGTCTCGCATCCTTATGGGCCCAGCATTCCTTCCCTCCAGGTGTATTTCCCTTTCTTCAACCTCCAGCCTAATCGTGGAATTCTCTTTCAAGGATGCCTTTGTTCTTGACGCTGGCAGTGCTGGAATTTTCGTCTGGATCGGTAAGGAATGTACCCTCGAAGAACGTGCTAAGGCTATGGACATTGGAACAAACTTCGTCAAAGAACACGTGAGTCCTGAACATTCTGGGCCGAAAACCCACCTGAATTCCTCATTTCAGAAACTGCCAGCATGGACCACAGTTACGCGAGTGCTGGAAACTGTTGAGCCGGCAGCGTTTACACAATGGTGAAAATTTGTCTCAGTTACCCTTTCCCCATTGCTAGCGGGGAAGATCAACTCGCTTAATGTTCAAAGATCTTTATCTTGGCGTGCAACGAACGAATTCAGAATTTTTAACGTACAGGTTCGATGAGTGGGTTGATAGCAAAGAAACGAAGAGCTTCAAGCCGCGCTTGTTCCAAGTGTCAGATGAGTCCGGAGGAATAGTGGTTGAAGAGATCGCCAATTATACTCAAGAGGTAAGCAAAGAGGGCATATAACTTTTAAATTTTCCTTCTAACGCTCGGCGATTCACCGCATTTTCAGAGTCTCGATGGTGATGACGTCATGATACTTGATGCTCTGAACCCTATCTATGTATGGGTTGGGGAAGGCGCCAACCAAGATGAGAAAAAGAACGCCGTCTATACTGCGGAGGCAAGCTTACTTTCGAGTACAGAAATAAATATTCATGACGGGATTGTCGCAGACTGAGGCTTCGAATGGAAAGATCCGCGGACCTAGGATCAGGTCCCGTTCATGTTTCAAACCTTCCGCCCCTCTGCGCTTAAGAAATTGATCTCAGAACTGTCATAAGAATGGACCCTCGAGCGGCACTTGAAATTAACTTAACCCTTTGACGACAATGCAAATTTCCACGTAGCGTGCTCGTGGGACCACGTCTCTTTCTGGCACGCCCAACTCTCGCACAAAATGGGGCAAAATTGTCTATAAGAGCAGTTTTTCTATTAAAATTTTGACTATGACAACAAACAAAATATGACTGCAGTCTTAACCTTTATCATCATGTATTGTTGGAATTAGAAGTGGAAGTTTGGAAAGAAATCTCGGATTCCAAAGGGGTGGTATTAGAAAACTCTAGATCAAATGTAAAGTAGAATTTTTGACATATTAGGTTGGTAACTTTAAAATGTCGCTTCCTTTTGTGTCTTTGTTTTACAGCTAAAACACAACCTCGTGATATGGGAGACCATTCATTCGAGGGGGCGATTCAGCACACATAATGGTAAATCTTAAGCACTAGTGAGCTGATGTTCCTCGGGCCAGAACTTTTGCTCGAAGATGACTGATCAGAAAACATCGTCTGAGCATCTATATTCAAGCAAGGAAAATCAGATCAACGAATCAACGAAAGTCAACGATTCTCGCTCACTGTGTGCAAAACATTGAGCAGTAACACTTTCTCTCTTGCGCACTTCCAGCTATGGTCTCAGCTCCTCCAAGACTGAGATAAAGGACTTTAGGACGGAGAGCGTGAATATTGACGTATCTGAAGAAACGAAGAATAAAAAAGCCAACCAACTGAGCTCTCGTCAAACTACACTGGAACTCTCAGGAAGATTCATCTGTGTCAACAGTAAAATTTGAAAGTTTCTACGTGCGACCGATGAGGCCTTTCAGTATAGAAATTGGGTTCGGTCTGTTATGAGCGACATGAGCAAACAGCACTGGTTGCCAATACTGGAACTCTCTTCCTTAACTCCAAGAGGAAGAAGGCTCTAGACTTGGTTGTAAGCGCACCTATTTCAATTTCAATTTATTACATGCTACTTGCATGTTTACAACAATAAGTAATAAAACACAACGATCAGAAAAAAAAAAGAGAGACGGAAAAATCGAATATAGAAGCATGGCAATATATTAATGAACGGAACGCAGATGATGAGATACCTTGCTTTTGAATGTAGAAAAGGATGTTGATATTGGGAAAAGTTTGCTCATTTTTGAATACTCCACACCTGCACGAAACGTGAAAATTCTGCGCCCAACCGACGAACGCGGTAAGTTGAAGTAAGCTTGAACCTCTCTCCCCTTGTATTGGATTGGACCATACTATAAAAGTTGCGACTGTCAAGATCAACGCGATGGTTGGGTATGTTATACACCATGAGTATGTCATTTCTCCTGAGCCTCATTTGCAGAGTGTTTAAATCGAGCATCTTGTTCCTTAAAACCCCACGAGGGATGCTCCTGTACGTAAATCCTAGTGTTCTAATAAATAATTTTCTGGAAAAGTTATTCTGGATCTTTCCTAATTTGCTGAGAAGGGCTTCGCTATAAGGAAAATAAATGCAAGTGCCGTATTCCAAAACAGAACGTACACAGATTTTGTATGCTCTAACAAGCGATAAGGGATCCTTGGTTTTTAAAGACCTAAATAATAGGAAAACTCTACGGTCAGCTTTGGCAAGAATGCTCTTCAAATGCTCCTCAAAACCGAGTTTTGAGTCGATAATGAAGCCTAAATCTTTTACCGTACTGGTGGTACCAAGGGCACGATCGTTAATATAGTAGTGGACGTTTGGATCAGTCCCACCAAGGTGAAGCACTTTCGTTTTATGAATAGACAGTGGAAGTACATGAGCGTCAGACCAGTTGACGACAGCGTCTATTGCCCTCTGAAGGTTGGTGGAATGACTATCCACACTCCCGTAGAGTTTCAAATCATCAGCAAACATTACGACTTTCACTTCGAGACCATCTACCGAAGAAGGCAGATCAAAAGTAAAAATGTTAAATAGAATAGGCGAGAGAACGCTTCCTTGTGGAACTCCGCTAGGAGCATTCTTAACGTTAGATAGAGACCCTTCTGTAATGAATGCCGACTCGCGCTAGCTTGTTCAGCAAAATAGAATGGACGACTTTGTCAAAAGCTTTCTCGGAATCAAGGTAGATGACATATAATAGGGTGTTCCCCGATAACAAAGTGAGAAGATGGCCGCGGTTAGAAGCAGATAAGGAATGGAGATGACTCCGAAACTGTCCACGGAAAAGAGTCCTGCTTGTCCATGATGAAACAGTATTGTACCGGGCCATTATGGAAGCTGATTGTTGGTCAGACAGTTACAGCTGTACCCTGCGCACGACAGCCAGCCCGCGTTGGCCAAGCGCTGCGTCAGGTGGGAAATCCGGCCATTATGAAGCTATGGCACGATAACACAGGACCACATCTCGCGAAAATTACGCCACCAAAAATCGGGGAGTTGCGCTAGAACGTTCTACCTTCTTCGCCATATAACATTGATCTGGCGCCAACCACCTATCATTGAGCCAGGTCAATGCCGTGCACTTTGGTAGCAAATTAGTTCAAGAACCGCGACAACATCAAAACCTAAGTGCGTAACATCTTCGAGTCGTACCTGAAGAGTTCTACGAGATAGGTCTCCATGCTTTGCACAACAAAATGTGAAGACTGAGTGAATAACATGGAGGAAATAGTTCGGGTTGATGTGCTTTGATAGAGCTTCTATACTTAAAATAATCGTTGATTAAAAACGACATTTCAAAGTTACCAACCTAATAGTTCGAACTCCTCCTTGTGTCTCAGACTGAAAAGACGTAGAGGTCCCGATTTGTAATTCACCTCAAGCTTAATAATGTAAAACACTAATTAATACATCGCCGAGCGAAGCGCCATATCCTGAAATTTCATACAAATTAGCTGGTAATAAGAATTTCTGCAAAATATGCTAAATATAGGCCTAACGAGCTTCATTATAATTACTGATATGTTAGAAATGTTTTAAATAGGTGGCACTCACCAGTGGGTGCCATTGTCGCCAAAGGCTTAACAAGCCAACAAGCACACTAGGAGGAATATTCCATGCTGAATCTGAGTCAATTATCCCCTTCTTTGCGTATTATACAACTATTTACAAAAGAAAGGAACATGCCATTTTGCAGTTTGAAAGCATGTGGGAGTAGCGCCGTGGACATATCACTCTAGACTTCAGCGACATCGTGGGGCCCAGCTTTCAACTACAACAAGTGGCTTGATGTCCGCGTCTTGCTCTCTCTACGCTCTCTCACCTCAGTGGTCAAACTTCGTAACAGTAATCCAGAGCCTAGGCGGACACTCTTATTTTCACTGTTTTTCGCAATTTATTACCACTTGTCTCTCATCTGTTTTCAATTTAAAAAATATTATCGAATGTGTAGAGTTGCCCTAACCTATATAGGCAGCCGTCTTCGCCATCACTCGGGCAACCGTTTTCTACTATTAGGTTGTCTCATAAATAGTGTCGCTTTTTTTCAACCAAAAAATTTTAATCTAAAATCCCATGCTTTTACATTGTGTTATATACCATTCAAAAGAGAATTGTCTGCTCTATAAGAAGCTATGTATGTCTTTCACCTCTGCTCCAGGTTTTTCAAATTTTAGGCCTGTGAAATGGGAGGTCCAGCCAACAAAAATTGACCAAACCGACAACTATCTCTAACTTCATCTTCCCTCTGGAGAAATCGATTAATGATGTACCCTCTACTTATACATGACCTCTTCTGAACATTACACCAAAGGTTTCAGTACAAGTCGCGTCGTTCCTTTTCCAGAGCTGATTTTTCAACCAGAACTTGACGGTCAAGCACCATCACTTTAGATATAGGTTGGAATTTTTTTCAGCCAAAACATTGAACAATCAGTAGAATTTGAAGAACAAGTCATGACTAAGTTAGGAATGTACGCCTGGTTGATTTTCTCATCTTCTCTGGGTAATTTTTTTCCAAAGAAGTGCGGTCACTTTCGCGGATAAAACACCTATTCCTAAACATCTAAAACTCGAACTAATTCCCAACAAACATCAAACAAATCAATTGAGCGAATAGAGCAGAAGAGTTGCTCACAAAAGAAACACCATTCGATATGAAACAACGGCGTTCACGAGGAATAATTTCAAATTGAAAATTGGTATGGCTTATCGGTCAGCCAATTTAAAAAGAAACACGGCGAAGCTTTTTCGGCAACCTAAGTGTGGAATGTTTGGAAGAGGCCATGAGTAAGTAGAGGGTACATCACTGATTGATTTCTCCCCAGGGAAAATAAAGTTTGAGCTAGTTGTCGGTTTGGTCATTTTTTGTCGGCTGGACCAGCCATTTCGCAGACCAAAAATTTGAAAACCGTGGAACAGAGGTGGAAGTGGAACACACAGTCTTGTAGAGTAGACAATTTTTTTTCGAATGGTATATGACTTGGTGTAAAAGCTTAAGGATCACCTCACCTGTATCACCTGTCGTCCCGTTGATCATCGAATTGCTCGAGCGGGCGGGGCGTCCATCCGCCCACCCCGCCCACGCAACGTCTCATTCGTCCTGTCGCGTGCAGAAGTTGTCCAGTGGAGCCCCTTGCTCGAAGGACACGGTGTCCTTTCATTGCTTTCGTTCAGAGCTTTAGTGAAGAATCTGACCATCGGCCGGACGTTCTCCAGGTGTTCTTTTGACGTCTCGAGGATCAGTCGTAACCGCCTCTGGTCCAACGGCGGCATACGCAAACTCGCATGACGTTTCCCGGGCCCTTAATCTCTCGATTCCTTGGAAAATACGCAGCGTCCCTGAACTTCGATGCGTTGCGTAGTTCGGCACTAGTCCGGATTCCATCGGCCACTTGCTTGTACAGAGTTACTTACTAGCATCGTCCTTTCGACAGCGCGTTGGATAACGCTGCCGACAAAAAGATGCTCGTCTGCCTGCGCACCGGT